ATTCCTGACCACACCACCCACACATGTTTGCACGGGACTGTCTGGTGTGCTGGCTGTGTGTGTGTGTGTGTGTGTGTGTGTGTGTGTGTGTGTGTGTGTGATAAACTCACATGGCTGAAGAGCTCATTGGTGAGCCCCAGATAGTTGTGTAGAGCCAGGACTGTTACTCTTTGAAGACGAACCATGATAATCTGACCAGATGAAACAGGAAGTGAGTAATTTGACGTTGTCAAATGTTCAACACTGATTTTAAAAAAAACAACATTGTGTGATATGTAAATACAAGCAGAACATCATGATTTTTAACACATTCAAACTCCACATTTCATCTGGAATAGCACAAAGACAGTCAGATGTTAAAGTGAGAATGTAATTGTTTTAGGATGGTTATATTCCCATTTTGAGTTGGATTCCAGCAACACGTTTCAGTCAAGTCCGCTCGGGGTCAACACTCTGTTCAGGGGCTCCTTTGTTGTATCTTGTGTTTCATAATGCTCCAAACATTTTCAATAGGTGGCAAGTCGCACATTAGGAAGGCCGGTTTGGCACCTGGACGCTTAGGGACGGCAGTAGCTCAGTCTGTCGGGACTTGGGTTGGGAACCAGAGGGTCACCAGTTAAAGTCAATAACAGAGTAAAATTGAATGTCCCCTCCTGGGTTTAATAAAGTATTTATTCTTCTTCTTCTTTTTCTAAAGAGCCATGCTGTCGTTGTACACCGCCCCAACTTTTTGGAAACGTTCTGTCTACATCACATTCAAAGTTGAAGAGTTTAGCTAACCCCAACGCTTAAACAGAATCAACAGAAGGACACACACAGCTCACCTGGACGACCCGCACCAGGCTCTCTGGGTACTTCTCGAATATAGCGAGGAAGGCTTCAACGGGCAAACGTAGAACAGTGGAAACCTCTGCAGCCCGGGCCGACACCGTTCTGTAAGGCTTCTGGTGGCCCTGCGCACAAAGATCACAAGGAATCATCGTCAAGGCTCTCAACACTCTGATACTTTTATAAAACATGCTATCAAAAGTATCAACCTCTGTTATGCTTTAAGAAAACAAGAGATTTCCAGTCATATTTTTAACCCAAAGCTGCTGCATGAGAAAGAGGGAGAGAGAGCAGCAGTTGGCCAAATCCTGACGTTTCAAAAGTCCTTTTGGTGTCAAGTACAGAGGCAAACGTTGCGTTCACAGACAGACAGCAGAGGAGCAGACTCTGTCTACATTGCACAAATTAAGTGGCCATGTTTGGGTACAAAGACTTTGCCAATGTAATTGTGCAACTGAGACAGCATGCAAACTCCAGCATTCCATGAGTTATGAATAAAGAACTGTATCTCATGAATGATTTAAGGCAGGACAAGAGTACCAGGGGCCGGGGTCAGACTTGAACCTGCGTTCGCTGTGACGAGGACTTCAGACTCTGTACAAGTAGCATGTGTCATAACCGCTAGGCTATGACAATTTTAGGTCAGGACAACCCTTCAATGGATTTTCAGAAAGTAATTTAAATGGAAATCTTTATGATTGACATTTTAAACCTTTTCATTGGACGATGAGATTACACACGAGCCCTTTTCAGAAGCGCCGTAACTAAGCTCAGCCGTCATCTCATCTCTGTACATTAATACTGATTCCTGGACAGCGTAATATTGGTGTCCCAGTCAGTTTCACGATGTGTTACAGCATAGGGCGCCACAGGAATGAGTCCTAAAACCCGGAAGTAAGTTAGCATTTGAGCGCCATGGGGTCTTTGAATGGGTTTGTGGTTAGACGCCTGAAATAAGGTCTGTGGTTAACACAAGCTTAAGCGATGTTGCCGTTTTGTTAGACCACATAAACTACGTTAGGTAATACCCCCACTTGTGAATTTTGAAGGTTGCTAACAAGTGGCTAAATGAGACTTCAGTGGTTGTCGGGGACATTAAAACGTCGGACACAGAGGCGGGAACTCTCTCACTAGTTGGAGATGTCTCATGTAGGTTTAATCTTTAGGTTAAGGAAAATATTATGTTAACAAACAATTTATCAAGCTACGCAGATTATTTTATCGGAGATCGTCTGAGGAATAACGGTAGTGACGTCGGTCGGCCGCATTAACGCTTCAAACATCATAAAATTGGTGTTCATCTGTGAAAATTATCCTGCTGAGCAAAACGCCTACGCTTCAGAAACATGTGTTTGCCACAGAGCTTATTTTCTGCAATGATCCAAAATCCAATGCAAAAATCCCATAGGGCGAATTCTCAATAGACGTCAAGGCGATGCTACTCTCCCCCGCTGGCTCAGCTGATCCCATCTCTCCTCTGTAACGCCTCTGTTACTTTCTCTGGAGACAGAACAGAGGGGGGATCACTTCCTTCCCCTGTAACACCTTCACAACATTCAGATTGAAGGAACAAAGTCTATAGAGGGGGGTTTGAAACAACAGTCTAAATATGTCTGGTGATTCAACCCAGCCTTGTCACTGATTAACTGCAGATCAAAGTAGGAGTCACCTGACACAGGTGGAGGCGGACGGGTGGGGTCCCACACACTGATATCAAGGTAGCATGTCATCAAGAATGAATCATGTGTATGCTTGAATACGGGGAGTTTGTGTGTTTAGTTGTGACGCAGCAACCTTGCACATGATAATGGCGTGTGTTTGTGTGTGTGTGGAAAGAAGTGGGCGTGGCTTACTGTGATGACATCCAGGATGCTGAGGAGGCTGTGGACACTGTCTCCAGGGTAAACCTCTTTCACCACACTTTCTTTGCCGTCCTGGAAGACAGAAATTAGACATTTATTTCAGTGTACAAAGAAGTAAAAGAAGAAACCTGTGTTTAAGTTTGCAGCAAGACCTGAATTCATTTCTCAGCCCTCGTCCACCTGTCGGCGGGTATTTTTGAACGCGTAGCTTTTTCCGTGCTTTTAAGTCACTTAAAAAACTCTCGTTTAGTAAAACTCCTTCCAGCGTGAAGATGTTCAGAAACTCTCTTTAAGGTGTTTCTGTGTAGACGGGGAAAGCAGAGTTTTGTTCTTGTAACGTCACGCTGTGCGATTAGTGTGATGGCAGACGTAACCAAACTAGCGCTGGTGCTAACTATGCTAACTGGACTTTCTACATGCTCACACACACACACACACACACACACACACACACACACACACACACACACACACACACACACACACACACACACACACACACACACACACACACACACACACACACACACACACACACACACACAGTTACTCTCCCACTATGTTGATGAGCAGAGACACCCCATTGGACGACGGAGGTCACTGCTGACGTTCCAACCACACAAACCCCACCGCCAATGTCAGCAGTTTGAGACAAGATCAGGTTGGACTTTGGGGTTGTTTTTTTTTTGGGGGGGGGCGGCAGTAGCTTAGTTTGGGGCGGCAGTAGCTCGGTCGCCGGTTCAAGTCCCGGTGCGGACCAAGTTTGGAAGTTGGTCTGGTAGCTGGAGAGGTGCCAGATCACCTTCTGAGCACTGCTGAGGTGCCCTTGAGCAAGGCACCAAACCCCCTCCCCACCATCAGCTCAGGAGCGCCCACTGTGTGTTGCTCAACATGGGGGATGCTAAAAACAAAGGCCAAAGCAGTTTGGATGTCTTTCCTAACAACTTCTACGACTACAAGCAATATCTGCAGGCTCATGTCTTGATGATGATGGTTTAAACAACCAACCAAGAGGAGTGCAGGTGGCGCCCCATGTATTGAAGCTGTAGTCCCCCAAGCGGGCAGCCCAGGTCCGAATCCTACCTGTGGCTCCTTTCCCGCATATCATTCCCCCACTCTCTCTCTCTCCCTGATTTTCGACTCTATCCACTGTCCTATCTCTCCAAAAAAGGCACAAAAAACCCAAAAATAAATATATATATACTGTATATATAAAAAAAGAAACTATCGAAAAAGGCAGATGAAAAGAAACAAAGGAGTGGTATTGGGAGATGCCCAGGTATCGGATTGGTATCAGACCTCAAAAAGTTGGATTGGTGCCTCTCTAGTTATTGTTTGTTACTTTCCTAGTTTCCTGAGATTATAAAAGTCAAATGTTAATTAAAGCTAATCACTGTTAAAGCCAGAGCTCCCCTAGTAAATCCCTTATTAGCTCTGCTTACCCTTGTGAATTTAAGTTTTTACTGCAAAACACTTTGAACCACATAATTTTAAAACACAAAAACCACTTCCCAGAGGAAATTCACAACCACTCTGGGTACGTGAGCGGGCATGCACACATGTGCTCGCGTACCGTTCCAGTAAGGCACAATTCTAGTTTCCCGTCCTGAACCACGTAGATGCTGCTGTCAGGCTGGCCCGGCCTGAAGACGTACTCCCCTTGTTGGAACTGCACAAACACCATGTGTTTACAGAGTTCAAGGAAGAGCGGCTTCTCAAAGTGACCCAGAACCCTGCAGTGAAGGAAAACACAGAGGTGAGGAGGAGGGTTTTCACACACACAAAGACATGTGTGAATCTGTCTGCTTTATTAAAAAAGTAAATTTTTTTATCTGTGATCTGTTGAGTGGAATGTTTTTCACTTAGATTGCTAGGTAACTGCTTCACAACAGAAGCAAACATTATATAAGCTGGAGTGATGCGTGTCTTTTACAGGAGTTTATCATCAACCATGCTAATCAACTTGATCTTGTACTGACATGTTCAGGCCTTTAAAGACTAACTGCCTTCTTGGCTAGGTCACCCTTGTGAAAAAGATCCTGATCTCAATGGGTTATTTATCTGGTTAAATAAAGGTTAAATAAAAAATAAACTAACACAAATACAAACATCTACCGGACATTTTTTTTTTTTTTTTTTAATACTTTATTGCAGGCTGTTTTACTACATTACAAGTTGTCATATTTCATCACATTTTGTTCATCCTGGCACATTTTTATATATAATTTTTTAAACATACAAGAAAACATACAAGATGAAATAAAATAAAATTCAATAAAAATCCAAAGAAAAGGTACCTACCGGACATTTTTGAGCATGTAGAGCACCTCGGAGGGGAGGTGGGAGTTGGCCACGTCAAACTCAGTGAGGTCCGCCTCCAGCACCGAGGGAGGGGGCTCCTTGGCTTGTAGAATGGGCACTTCCTTCTTAAAGCGCAGGATCCTACACAGGAGGGCAGTGAGCGAGTGAGCGAGTGAGTGCACCACTGACAATAAAACAATGCAATTTTCTTAATTCCTTTGAATCAGCAGCTATAAAAATTAAGATTAAGATTTACTTTTATTGATCCCTGCAAGGGAAAATTTCAGTTAATTTCCCTTGTTATCAAGGCAGGTGATGCAGCCACTGTAATCAATGACAGGCCCGGTTATTTCTAAAGCTGAAAGAATAATCTACAGCCCATCCGAACAGTGTACAGTCTCAATTGCACAATACACTGCCATGGATGGAGTCCAAGAATTAACGATACATGCTCTGCTTTTGCCGATTGTACCATTGGAGTTCCGCAGGGATCGATCCTCAGACCAATTTGATTTAGCTTGTTTGACCTGCCCCTGCTTTGCCCAGAGGTCTACTGTATATACAGATGTACACATATGACACAGTTGTCTACATCTGAGCTTCCAAACTCTCTGAAGTCTTAAGCAAAACAGCAGTTTGGTTAACTCGCTGTTGTCTAACTTAACACGAGGGAAAACTGTGGCATGAATTTCACTATTAAGAGAAATAAAACACATCAACTTCTAGTTTTAGGTGAAAAAAAAGGTAGAATATTCAAGTATCTTTTCATAACCATTGCTTCTAACTAAAACATGAATGGTAGAGCTATCCTGATGAATTTAAGATGCATCAGGCATCAATGACCTAAAGCCGCTTCTAAGCTCTTTATTCACTCAATGTTTTTTTTCTCACTTATCTTACTGCGTCACAAGCTGGTCCGAGTTAGGAGTGACCACACTGAAACCATTTCACACTCTTTACAAACTAAGAAAATTATTTTTTCTCGTTTTCAGATTTACTTTTTGGCAATGTTGAGCATCTTCTGCTTCTTCTTGAGGCGTGGCCGAGAGGAGGAGGCGGTACCCACCAGGGAAGAGGTAGACTGTGAGACCTGTCGGGAGACATACTGGTTAAAATGGTTTTACCATCACGGCAGATGAATGAAGTCAGCGATAACGAGGGATGTGACGATACCTCACGACACTGTTGAAAATCAAAACCAATGGACAATTGAAATCAGTGAGATGAAAAAAATGAATCACAATTCCCTTTTTTAATCAGCAAATGTTAGCTATGTACCTTTCACCACCTTTTTTCAAGTCTATCACGTCTCTAACATCCTTAGCAGAATGGAGACGTACAGACAAGGCTACAGCAGATTACATTTTTGCAGAGGATGATGCACACTTTTGATTTCCACTCTAGATTAACTAGTGGAGGTTCTCTATTTCTCTTTCTTTCTCACTTATGAGTCTCAGGTAATGTCTTTGCAGGTAACAGAGAACGAGAGAGACCTAAGGGGACGTAAGATGATGCAAGACAACGTAAAGGTTCATGCCTCTCCAGAGGGTGCTAATTTAGCTGTTTTAATTACTCCTGTCACTGTGTAATCTAATGTTATCAAAACTGAAAACAAAGTGACCTAGGACAAAAAGGTAAAGTAAAAGCATCACAAAAAGCAGTTTTAATAATAATCATAATAACTATAATTTATACTTTATTAATACCGCAAGAGCAAATTCAGTTTTAAACAGTTTTAATGAACATGAACACAAACACAGGCGAAATACACACACATGCACAAACAGGATTCTATGGACATGCATTAATGGAGAGGTCTCAGAGTGAGGGGGCTGCACACAGCGAGCGCTCCAGAGCAGTTTTGGGGTTAGATGCCTTGCTCAAGGGCACCTCAGCTGAGCTCAGGATGTGGACTGGCACCTCTCCGGCTATCAGGCCTTGGTCCGTGCCGGGACTTGAACCAGCGACCTTCCGGTTCCCAACCCAAGTCCCTGCAGACTGAGCTACTGCCGCCCCAAATGACAAAATATTGTTCTTTTTGAACATAAACTGGGTTAGACACCCTTACAAGAAGAGTGAGAAAAATCGAATCGTGAACCCAGTGTTGTAAATCGTATCATATCGTGAGTTGAGTATATCGTCACACCTCTAGAGGCGATCACGTCTCTCTGTCAAACACTCACTTTGCGCATGATCTTCCGCCCGTAGAACATGACTTTGTCCCTCTTGCGAAAGCGGTATTTGGGAGCCTCCTGAGCTTCGAGGTCTGTGAGGAAACAAAAACAAACACATGATCATAGAAATAGATATTCCATTGTCTAGCTCCATGACGGGTTCTCAGCGCTCTGAGATCATACTGACTTCGAAGCTGGATTCTCCGCAATACGAAGAAGATGAGGATGGCGATGAGGACTATGGCGATGCCTGCGCCAATCACCATCCCCACCATCTGTGGAGAGACGAGCAGAAGAGGGAGAGAGACGATTAGTGTGCACACAGGGTTACAAGGTCTCATGCTGTCTGCTGAATGATGTTTCACACACACATCATTATTTAATCTGCATGCTTGTTGAATCGTTCTCTTCTCATTGTGTAACGTGTGTGCTGGAAATACAACTTCCTGCAGGGGTGACCCAACAGTGAAGCAAAGGCAATGTGAAAGATACCTCACAGCGCACACTCACCATGCTCGTCTGAAGTTCCTCCTCCACAAATGACTTGAAGTTATTAAACCCGTCCTGATGTGACAGAAAAATACAGAGAAATTATTCATTTCACGTCAACAACCACAGCTCCCACAGGCAGCGTGTCATTAACTTTCTGGCACACACAAAGGCCACCAGTAGCTCAGACATTAGACAGAGACTGAAACCCTGTGAGTGGGGCCTGAAGGCCTCAATCTCACTGAAGTGTAATGGAATGTGGGAATAAGGGATTTGCCGTGGAGACCGGCACGTCTGGATATCAGGAATATGAGAGGAGAAGGGGATAAAGATTTTTACATTTCATCTTCTCCAAAGTTTTCCCCCCTGCATGTGTGGCTCCAGCTCTAATTCTCATGTCTTTTCACTTTCCACTCCTGTAAACTTCTCTGCTCCTTTTAATGCAGACTAAGGGCCTGGACACACAGAGACACGTCACTCCAAAAACGCATGAGCGCATCAGCTGGGAGGGCCTGTCTCTCTCTCTCTCTCTCTCTCTCTCCTACTTTACTCTACTGTCTTATCTCTAAACAAAGGCATAAAATCCCCTAAATAATAAACCTTAAAACTGTAAGTCATAGCTCACAGGGATATGGGGAGGACTGAGGAGGACGAGCACGTTGGCTCTGTTTAATAATCTTCTTAAGGAGCTCCCTGGTGTGCACCTGTGTCGATCTTTTTGTTTGACCCACTTTATTGATTTTTCATCGAGGACTGAAAACGAAATGAGTAGACTGTTTCCAGGCGAGCTCAGATAGGAGATCCTCCGACCCGCCTGACGTATGAGCTCTTACAGATGGTGCAATCCTGTCATGATGTCCTTATCTTGTCTTATCTTCTCCTCTGACTTGTGTTTTTCTACAGCAGAGTGTGTTGTATCGTACTGTAATGCATCTTTGTTGTTTATTTATTGAACAGTGTAATTCAGTGGTTCCCAACCTTTTTTGGGATCGTGACCCCCCCTTTGACTTCACAGAAATTACCCCAGACATCCAAAATACAAACAGCTTTGTGCTAAAAGTCAACATTAATCTCAGAGCACATTTAGGCTTTATTATGTATATTATTGTGGACAGAAGAAGAAAAGCCGGGATGACGTTTCTGCACAATCTGACGACGGACAGACGGAGACTCTGAAGGTTCTTGTTTTGGCGTTGGCTTTAATGTCCCGGAGTTTTTAAAATATTTTACTATAAACTCTATTTTCTATTGCTGAATACCTTGAAATTTCAGGCAACCCCATTTGAACTCTATATGACCCTACATGGGGTCAGGACCCCGACGTTGAGAAAGCCTGATGTAGTTGCACATTGCATATTTTTCCTCATATCGTGACGCTCTAACTGCAGGGAATATGAAAATCTGAGCAGATGAAAATTTATATTTTACCATGCAGAGTGCAGAGAATAATAAAGTGACTTTAGACTTTAAAGTGAGGGTTTGCAATTTTTGAAAACTAGCATGGTTTTGAAAGTAGCATTCCCTCAGTGCTCCGTCAGCACCCGCCCCCTCCCCTCTGTGCGCCCTCAAAAGCCACGCCCTCTCACTCACATGCACGAGCGCTGTTTCTTCAGAAGCGGACCTCAGCTCATCTCTTGAGTGAGGGCTCATGCACGCAAGAGGTAGAGAGTGAGCAGGGAGACAGGGAGACGTCTGATTGGTTCATCAGATTGGTACCTAGTGGCGGACATTGGTTGAAGTTTTTACAGGCTTACAACTGTTCCTTTTTCAGAGAACATGAGTTATTCATTTCTGGCAGGACCTAAAGACAATTTATACCAAAATCTTAAAAAGTAGATCTGGAGGAAATTACCAACATTGCCTTTAAGTCAGCCAGAACAGACTTAATCTGGCTACTAAGATTTAAAAAAAAACCAGGACAGAATCCAAAGGGACTTTGAGCGGTCTGGAGTCCACAGTTTGCAGGTCAGCACACAAGATAACCTGCGCTGAATAATATGAAGCAAAGTGCTCCCCTAACGTGGTCCAGGCAGTCTTGTCTGGCCTTTAATGTGCAAAAACAACGTCACCCTCGGGTGGTATGTCTGTAGTTATGTTAGTCCCACAGATGCATGTCAGGAGTTATATGGTCTCAAGCTGCGGTGAGGGGATGTAACGTCCCGCCAAGACATAATTCAAAATGATGGACTGGAGTTCTGAGTCAGGCGGAGAGAGACAGAAAGCAGCTGAGCATGAAAGAACCCGCAGGAGAAACGATAAGGGGGAAGAAAAACAGAGAAGAAGAAGGAAGTGGTGGACTTCTGCTGCATTGTTTCTCAAAAAGAAGCAGATAAACATTTAAAGAACACTCATAGAAAGCAGCAAACGTATCACTTGAACTCAGTGACTGCAGGAAATAACCGATTTACTCGTCAAAACAGGATGATCAGAACAGGGAGTGGAAGGAGCCGGTCACCAAGATAAGCTTGTTTCTTTTAGCGTTAGTGCATATGGCCATCAGGTTATTTCAAGAGGAGTAATATATTTTTAGTGTTCTGGCTGAAAGCCAATGACACGACATGTCTGTTATCAGTGGTTATTGATTAGTGTGGGAGGAGCTAAGGGTTATTTGGCAGTAAAAGTCTAAGCTGGGCGCTGAGAGTGGAGCTGACAGATGGCTGATTGCAGAGGCAGGCTGGTGCACCGCACAACAAGTTTATATTATAGCCAGAGGCATCAAGTAGGCGCAAAGGAGATTAGAAATGAGAGCATGACTGTGGAAATTGTACACGTGTGATTTACAGTCAGAAGATAATGGCTCCTCTAAATGTACAAGCTGCAGTCCGACAAACAGAAAGGGTAAGTGTCTGAAGTGGTTCCACAGATGCAGGCTGCACATTAAATCTTCCTGAGTCGCTTGTTCCCATTTGCACCTCACAGCACGAGACTTTCACTCAAAGTGTCAACTAAAGCGCGCAGAAGAACATACCGGCAAACAGAGAGAACGTAAAGAAGCAGTTTCATATCGTGCATTTCATTAATGCACGGATATCACACAGATAACATAATCATCACCACCTTCCAAACTCAAAAGTGGTGAGTTCAAGTATCCCGGACGTCTTGCTCCCGACTGAGGGTAAAATGGATTGTGAGATTGACAGACAGATTGGTGTAGCGTAGAATTGAGAAAAAAAAAACATTTATGCAAAAAAAAAAAAAAAAATTGAGATTCTTATCTTCTGACATTCTAAATAGATTCATAACTTCCAGAAATCGATTTTTGTTTTTGGCCAATCAGTCACTCCCTGCTAAGTCATAAGGCTAGGTCTTTGAAAATAGATTCTCAATGGAATCTTGTGACCCCAAGAATCAAAATCGAATCGAATCTGGGAGAGAGTGTGAGGAATGACATGAGGGAAAGGAGCCTGCTTGGAGGACTCCGTACATGGGGCGTGCCCCAACCACTAGGCCACCCTTGCAACTGAAAGAATGAGATCATGGATACAAAGGGCTGAAATGAGTTTCTTCCAAAGGGTGTCTAGGCCCAGCCTTAGAGATAGGGTGCACTCTCCTTTTAAGGGATGAAATCTAACAGGAAGCATTTGACTTTGCCTTTTCTGTGACACCCATTCTCAAACTTCAGTGGACAACCTTCTGTTTCAAGGCTTCATTTACTGCACAGGTATACTTCATTATGGAAATAAATAACAGCGGGGCACAAACCGACCTCTGGGTTGTCTCCCTGGACCTCTTGTTCCGAGGTACTCTGTCCCATTGTAATCCTGTTTCTTCATAGGGATTGTCCATCAACGGCCACTACAAAAGAACACAGACATACTTTATTTCACTGGTCAAAGAAGGAGAAAACACGGGTTAGAATATGAAAAATAAAATGGTATAACACGTGCTGGCTCACTGTCAAACATTTACTGGGACACAAGTCACAAATACATTGCAAACATATTGTTGCACTTTATTCAGTATGATGGAGATTGTTTGCAATTTCTTTGGTTGATAACAAGAAAATTACCCAATATTGGGCGCCTAGGACTAATAAGGGTTTTTTGGGGCCGATACCGATATGGAGACCAAAAATCTAATACAGATACATCGGTCGATATATTTGGATCTATCTTCAATCTGTAGAGACAGATATAGATAAACACATTTATTGCGTTGATCCCTCAGATGCCGTTATCAAACACTTGAAGATAAGATGGTCGCTCCTCTGGAAAGTAACTGTGTGTGCATGTCCGTACATCACGGCTTGACACTCTGGTGATTGATGATGCTTGTTGTTAGGGGTGTGTCCAGACTTTTCTGACTGGGATGGCCCAACTGAGACACGCACACACACAAATAAAAATCAATTACGACTACCGACATATTGCCAATTAGTTCACTACATGTAAGACAGAGTGCATTACCCTGTATTATGAAATAGATGTGCAAACAAAACTGATGCAGCAGGATCGTTTCTGTTGGAGTATTACACCCAAAAAAGCACAGTGACACTTTAAATGGTCAGTCAATTATTAGTCAATTAGAGTTATTTGTTTGTTGTTGGTATGACAGATGTGTAGATTGTGGCTACTGTGTTAGTTGGACCTTGAAATGGTCTACATTAGAGGTGGGGGAAAAAATCAATTCATGTAAAAATCGAGATTCTTATCTTGTGAGGTTTTAAATAGATTCATAACTAACTTTTTGGGCTAATCAGTCATTCCCTGCTAAGTGCTAATGCTAGCTCTTTAACTCAGTAGGATGCCAAATGGAGCAGCAAGAAATTCAGTCGATTGGAGTAGATCCTGAAGTATGTACTCATTCAAAAATAGACTTTGAATTAGTACATACCAGAATCTTTAGACACCCAAAGATTCCTAGCCCTAGTTTACACGGTCCTTAATTTTTTTTTAAAGATTTGTTTTTGGGCTTTTTGTGCCTTTATTGTAGGGATAGGATAGTGGATAGAGTCGGAAATCAGGGAAAGAAGTCATTTAAGGATACCTTTACGATAGAAAAAGACAGCTGTCATTAAAAGTAACCCATGAACACCAAGATTCCTTCAAGTGTTTGTGTCCCCACCAACGCTGTAAACCTAGTGGAAACACTGTGCACGTATCATGGGTTTGTCTTTTTTGTTATTGTGAATTAATGATATTTGTCATTAAAAAAACAAAAAAACCCTGACATAGGATGCTCAGATTCATATGTCTCTGCTTTGGTATCAAACAAGTATAGATTTTTTCTATGTTTCAAATTCTGGTATCTTGACAAACATAGACCTTGCAAAGTTATTTTCCTCTCCATCATTGCTGCACTCACACAAAGTTAATAAGACATACAGTATGACATGCTTGGAAGGGAAAATAAAGGAGATGTTGGAGACATAAGCATGCCTCCATGGTTCTCTCTAAATCTCTAATCATGAATGAATTGGGGCAGTGAGGAGATCATCTCCCTGGGGCCGGGGGGGATGGATGGATCAAAAAAGAGGTGGTGGTTCTTTAATTCCACTCAGTCTCCTGATAGGCTTACATGAACCGGAGGATCTGGACACACTGATACTCATCTGACAAAATGACCCTCGCTGTCCCTCCCTAATCTGCAAACGTTCCTCCGCAGAGTGAACAGTAAAAATTCCCCTCATCATGTTTGTGCATCTCTCCCTGATCATATGCTCTCTCTCTTTTCATGAACAAATCTAGGTTGTTAAATTGATTGTGCAAATTCCCTCCAACAAAGAGCGAGGGCAGCCATCTGGAGGGTTCTTATCAGCTGTGTGTTTGTCTGTGTGTGATTGAGACAAAGCCTGGTCCAGCGTCCTGTCCTTGGCAGTGTGTTGCTGTAGGATGCAATGATCTGATCCCTCTCTGATTCTGGCGCTCAGTAAAGACATTCAGTGTGGTTAAGCAACAGTGCCTGCCAAAACCTCTGCCCTGAGGCATGGCTATGTAGTGTGTACCAACAGCTTCTTGTTCTTTATCTAGTTCTATCACATTCACTGGTTTTCAGCAGCTGAGAGCATTGTTATGTTTTTGTTTGTGTGCTGACATTAAGAAGTTGTACTTCTGTAGTTCAGAGGTCATGAGAAAAGCCTTTCATGCCAGATGTCCAGCAGCAGCCGTGAAGAAGCTTGAGCTCTGTGTGGTTGTCACAATGGCAGAAATATAAACTTAAAGCGGACATGAAAACTTGTACAGTGTTTTTGAACATATATGTTGGTAACCTGAGTGTCTACTGACCCACAAAATGTGAAATAAACCCATCCAGTCCTTTGTTTGTGGTCGGCATAAGTCTTAAAACACGAAGAAAAAGGCTCTGTTTCAAATCCGCTCTCCTTGTTACGTCCTCCAGAGGCTAACAGCGGTGTTCAGCTCTCCCCAGGCCGAGAGGGCTCACCCTTTCGGCCTCATCTCTGCCTTTTCTCGGTCCTCCCCAACCTCCAGGCTGACTTAGATAAAAAATACCATCCCCTCCCCTAGTAGCTCCACCCATGGACTCCACCCCCAGCCTTGAACAAAACTGTTGTGCAGGTCTGCCATTTTTATTCTCACTACAGAGGAGTGATGTCTACGGGGAAAACTCAGGAGGGGCTCATTGCATTTAAAGAGACACACACACCAAAACAGAGCGTTCTGAGAGAGCTGGTTTATACAGGGTCACAAACCTCCTCTGATGCTTGATTCATGTTATATTCTGACCAAAGCACAGCACAGATGTTTCATTTAGACCACAGGGGACTGTTTGAAAAGGTGGAGAAGGGGGATAATATGTCCTCTTTAATATTCTTCCTCCCCATGGTGGAACATCTTTTATAGGCCCAAACCATCACAACTTAAAGCTAACAGCCCAGTCTAACCAGTATAACCCTCAGCTGCATGTAAGTGAGCTTCTCCGCTGAAGCTAAAATGGCTAAAGTTCATCCAGGTCGGCCACATACCTCCTCCCTGCCCACATCTGCCCGTTCAGACTGATTCAGCTGACACAGGCTTACACGCCATAGCTGGGACAACAAGCTTATTCACCGTCTACAGACACATAAACAGCTATGCTAGCTTAGCTCGCAGACGGTTCAATGATTTTCCACCCCCTGCTCTGACGACTCCAGCAGAAAGTGAGGCAGGAGGGAAAACAACCATGTTAACAACAGCAGCACAGACTTCCAGGTTTGCTGAGGGCATACAAAGCAGCCCGATGCACTCTCTATACACAGACTGTAAACAAACGAGCAGCGCATGCTAACAGCAAAATAAACACAGATCAGAGAAAAGAGGAGCGGCCTTTCTCATTCATATAAAGGATGTTTGAGCTTATGTCAACGTTGGTAGATGGGAAATATAACTGACTGCCATTTAGTCTTTAGATTTAAAGATGTTACTCAGCTTGAAAATATGGAATCTTTGGATGTATTTTACGCTGAATTTACTTTATTGACAGAAAATATCTGCCTAGAATACTCGCTGCAATATCCAAATATTGTCCTGTAACCGGCGAGTGAAGCAACAACATCTTGTGGCACCAGCTGCATCTTTGTCTGATGCATTTCCTGCCTAATGTATGACATCAGTGAGTGGAAGGGGGGCTGAACTGCTGTATGGATGAAATTCAATCAGGGAAAGGTTGGGGATGGGGGGTGTCCTGTTACATTAAGGACTGAGTGACAGACAAACCACGGAGCAGGATGCTGCTGAGCGGGACAAATCGTTTGAAGGACACAATCTGGGCGAAGAATTTTTGTTGTGTAATCTTTGTTCAAAAACTAGAAGAAGCACAAAGACAATATATAGACTTCGTAGGTGAGAAATGTGATCGTTTCTCCATTTAGGATTTGATTCCAGCAACACGTTTCAGAGAAGGTTGGGACCGGATGTTCATCACGCTTCTTCTAACATCACTTGATCCAAACATTGGTCAGAACTTCAGGGAGACGAGTTTATCACCTGGTCTCTTTGACTCCCGAGCCATGCTGTTGTAATACGTCCAGAATGTGGTGTGACATCGTCTTGCTAGAATATGCAAGGCGTTCCCTGGAAAATGTTCATCATTGATGGAGGCTTCACTGCTGTGCAGCACACTAATGCAATGGGCACTAATGCAATCATCAACATGCTAGTTTTTGAACTCTGCTCTGATAACAACATGTCATGATATGACCTTCACTGATGTTTCCAGAACCATCACACAGTCTCTGTTACTTGTGCAGCAGCCTCTCTTTCGAGGTTCGGTATGAGAAAGATGACAGCTGGATGTGAAGCTTTGCTCAGATGTCTCTCCTCGTCTCTACATTTTCTCCTGAGTGGTAATAACACCGTAAAGAAAGGCCTGGTTCTACTATCCCCCAGAGAGACAGTAGCCAGCCTATAGTCTCTTAGTGCCTCCCTCCATGCAGGCCTACTCCCATTGTTCTTTATGCACAATGAAGCCAGTGTTGACTCCACTGTCCCACGGGCAGACCTGAGCCGACTACTAACACAACCATGTCTGTTTTCACCTCGCACAATAAACACTCCAGGCCGTGAGATTCACAATATCCCCCTCAATCTGCACAGCTGAGGGGGTTCATGTTCAGTTTTGAACCCTGATTGAGATCATGGACGGTGGAAAAATAGCTAACACGAGGTAAATATAGAATTAAGAGATTTAAAGACTTAACATTATGAAAGAATAATAACAGAGGAACATGTTCTTGGTTGAAACATGCAGCACAGTGAGCCAAAAAGAGAACTTAAAAGGAAATCTATATAGCCTATTCACGGTGGTTAGGAGGTGTCAGGCTTCATCAAACTCCACAACAATAATGCAAAGAGATGCAAAACAAAACCGCAGCATGAGTGCAAGTTTATACTTTTTAGTAATAATATGAACAAATATTACAATGCTATTGTGTTTATACTAGAATACGCTTGTCGTATTTTATTTTCTCATGTTGCGTCCCTTTTGTATTCGTGTTGTGGACTTTGCATTTATCTTCTCTGTTAATGCGGTTGTGTGTTTTTCCCTTTTGAAAAGCGTTTTTTGGATATGCATTCCTCTGACAACTCCCGGCCGCCTTAGCTTATGCTATATTGATGACTGCGTTATTTTTCTCTCAAATCTTGAACCCGTGAAATCTGACAGATTCAAGGGTCAAAGTGTTTATGGATATGCAGTAGTCTGACACCTCTCGGCCGCCGTATTAAACTCTGACACAAACGACAGCAACATACTGACCAAGGTGAACTCAGGGGGCGACACCAGCTCAGATTTCCCTCCAGCCAAAATAGTTTGGCATAAATCTGTACGTACAGAGATGTTGCCTCACTGGCCTCTGGTGAATCCTCGGTAGGATTGTTGGGTTGTAAACACACCATGCCGGAGGGAAACTGCTTTACAGAGAACTATAAAAAAAAAAAAGTGGATTTTTTTTCTCTCTGGAAAAGCATCAGGCTGTTATTCCATGTCGCTTGTTCACACCAGTAGAGGGTGTTTTGACGCAGTGGTGTTCTGTTAGCAGGCTAAAGGAGACATGAAGCCTCATTAAGGTGATAGCAGCTACAAAGGTACACCAGGGCCGTGCTTTTTATGTCAACATGAGGGTTTTCCACCTAGTGAAAATGCTGACATTACGAATAATATTCTGTTTGGTTGAGAAGGGATTAAACATCTTTGCACCGTCTGGGACAGATGGCACCTGGCTGACTGTCCCATCTATAACGAGCTATCGATGCTAATGATAGCAGTTTGCTCTTATCATCATAATGGCAATAAATAAAACCTCTAAACCCCATTATAATGTTGAGATGGCTCTTTATCCCTGTTATGTCCCCTATTGACCTCCGCGGTTTGGCTGAGCTCCGTTATGGACTCCTTTGAACGGATAGCTTGTGTTTTTAGCTTCAGTTTCTCATCGTGGATAATGGAAAGCTGTCAGTCAAACACCACAACCTTACATTAAAACATCACTGACTGAAAACATTTCATAAAAATCATAAATTGAGAGTGCGTTTACCTGAGCTGATGGACTCCCGTCAATCGTCACTGACTGTCAAATAACACAGAAAGGGAATCAGTCCCCATGAAGCCCCTCCTCCTTCGGTCAGATTTCCGACCAATCAACGACAGAGGCGCTGTATAGAGGCACCAATGGGAACGCAATGTTGGGGGAAAGACTCTGATGTCCCGCCTACTTCTATGTAAATAAACAGGCAGTGTCCAATCGTTTTTTCAGGGGCATTAAAAGGTTTATATTTGATTGGATAACACCACGAATTACGACATTCTGCGTTAATAAATAAAACAGATTCAGTTTGATGAGATTTGTTTATTTTTTTTCCGACCCGCTGTTGAAATGTAAAAATGTACTGTATGCTATTAGAATAAGACGCTTTAAGAACTTTCAAATTAAAGTGGTGGATAATTAAGTTATTTCTACAATTTTTCGGCGTCTTCGACTCCGGAAGTGAATTTCCTCATTCAAATCCTCCGTTGACATTTCAGAAAATCCTCATATCTATCATTTAAATCCTGAAACCAAGATAATCTGATACACGGATACTCATGACTGTTACTTTTACTCAGCGCAAAAGAGAAAAAGGCAAAATACTATGAGTACATGTTCCGTGAGTAAGGGAACTACGCATCCCACAATCCATTGCGATTGCAAGAGACCCAACAAATCATAGTTTTGCGACCTTTCTTTGTACATTCAGGTTTAATGACATGTTTATAATGTTGATAGAAAATGTTTAAACATACCATACGGTGTTAAAAATCCACGAGCTTCAGTGGGAGCAGCGAGAGCTGAAGTTCGCGGGGACGGTAAACATCTCCATGGTAACGGCGAGCTCCACCAATCAGAGACATCCTTGTGACACTCCAGGGCAGTGGGTAGTGTAGTTATTTTCCCATTATCGCGATTAAACCAGGTTCTTTTTAAAAAACATCGTTTCACACTCAGGTAGCTCGAGGGAAATCTACCTTGGATGGTTTTGACATTATGGCTTATTTTAAAATCTGCTATGGAGAAAATGAAGGGACTTTAACTTTATTTTCCTGTATCTATGCCTTGTTTGCCGCAAATTATATCAAGAGAAGTATTTGATGTTGATAATTTAATTTAAAGTCTCCGTTACAAACAATCATGTAAATACAGATACCATGGCCAAATGAAAGTAAACCAATGATTGATCAGTCAGATTTACACAACTTGGTTTTCTGAACCACATAATGAACGTAAACCTAAAGCAATAACGCCCCCTAGTGGACAATACAAGCAACTTCCCAATCTTCCTTTATGTTTAAAGGCCCAGAACATTTGAGATACATTTTGTTTTCTAGATGTTAATGTCGAACAATTAATTAACATATACCCAACTTTGTTTTTAAAATACATAATCTTTATTGGGAGGCGGGTGTCCAGTAATAGGATTACAGTTCGGCAATGGGCTTGTGGGGCCAGTAGGGGTGTTTGACCTTGTCCAACTTGGTCTCGGGGAAAGTGTCATTGAGGTCGTCGACGGTCATCTGGTCGAAGGGGATCATGTTCTTGAACTTATCCAGCTGAAGCAAAAACAGAGGAAAAGACATGAGAAAAGAAGATCACAGTGATAGACTCAGATTTTCTGAAGAAGCCGATGAGGTGCTTAAGAAGCGTATCTGCTCGCTCACCTGTTGCTCATACTGAGCAATGCGAGCAGTAGATCCTTCAATGTAGGCGGATGCACTTTTGTTCTGTGAAAGAAAACAGAGCTGATTACATCTGACAATGCAAAACGATCACAGCAAATCAGATTTCTGCTGAGGAGAACGGCCTGTTTGGTGAGATTCAACCTTTTGCGCATGTTAAAATTCCACAATGTAAAATACACAAATCACAGCAAATTCAGGGGTAACAGCAGCCGTCTTCAATCCCATATCAACACTTTGACTTTACAGCGGCTCAGCTAAGCATGGTTTCAGTGAATGCACAGATTGATTCCGAGTAATTACTTACAGATTCAGCCTCCTGTGCAGTGATGGCGCTGGTCTGTGTGTCAACAGGCTGAGGGATCTGCAGGGCTTTGAACTGTGCATAGGAGTTAGGACAGTTAGGATTGAACAGGGCAACGCAAACCAAGAAATGCTTAAGATCTAATCTGAGCTCATGAGATCCAATATGATGACGACAGACCTACAAACAACAGCTAAACTGATGGGCCAAAAGGGAATAAAAGATGCAGACTGTTTGCATAACAAAGCTCTTTAGGCCACAAGTAACCTCCACCGACTGACAGACACAGGCTAAGGATGTTAAAAAGTTTTATTCCATGGCCTCTACAGATGATTTAATCATCGTATGAATTCATCTGGGTTCTGAGACATACTTTTACAATATCAGACATAAAGGACACATATTATTCAAGTGAAAGTTGCTACATCAGAAGTGGGACATTTTGTAGAAGTGTGCACAACCGCTGAATCAAACAGCTGATTAAGGCTCACCTTCTTCTCAAACTCATCGACCATGCCGGCTCTGGCGACAGCGGCCCTGTAGTGACTCCAGTCGATGGTGGTAGGAGACTCAGGCAGGGAGGCGAGTCTGGTGCAAAGAGAGGAGGGTGAGTTTAACTGATGACTACAAAAGGTATGAAAAAGAAATCAAAGATCTGTTAATATCAGGGTGAAATGATCATTTTAAAAAGGAGCGACTTCAAAGTTGGATGGTTTGAGCGAGACACACACTAAGACTAAGAAGGACAAAAGTTTCCCCAGGAAATCTATGAATGACTCAAAGCTGATAAGATCCACAAACACCCTGTGACCAGTATCTGCTGAGAGTTTAGTGATTTTCTTTCATGTGTAGATGCAATAAAAGAACATTCACACACATGAAGGCCTTTAGGTTCTGCGTTCACAGATAACTAAAAGAATTGTTAACTGCAGCCCTAATATCATGTCTTATTTTACATGAGATATTAGATCATCATTTACATTCATTTATCTGAAACTGAAAATGTCGGGATTTATCCGGACTTCATGAGGTGAACGTGGCTTAAAATAAGTGAAAATACATTTTTCTGACAAGAAATTTGACAAGAGCTTTTGTAACTAATCTCAGCCGTCATCACATCTTTGTACATTAATATTGATTCCACAAAGGCTTAATATCGGTGTCCCAGTCTGTGAATTAACATTGCGTTTCAGCGTTGTGTAAGCACGCCACTGGGGGAGCTCCACATACACACAGAGTCAGACACGCCCACACAGTGCGGCGCTACCTCGCTGGCTCTGCTGATACAGTCTCTCCTCTGTTACTACCTCTGAAGACGTACAGAGGAGAGATCACTTTGTCCCTCCATTACGCCTCTGCAGCATTCAGATTGAAGGAGAACTGCCACAGAGGCGTACATCTCTGGGATTTAAACAACACTCTTATGGGCAATATAATCAAGAAGGGGCGAGACATCTGATATCAGCTTTGTCAAAATCAATGACGGAGGAGAAAATGATCCTACTGGTCTTTTCAAGGGAACTATTTCAGGTGTAGAGCTGCTGCTGATGATGCCATGACATTGTTTTCATGTTTTCTTCGTAGTATATCCTTGAATAAGAGCAAATATTAAGCACACGGAGCTGAAACACATCTAAGTGTCCTTACAGAGGGAGGTGGAGGTTAACTTTCATAACCTAGCAACAAGAAGCGCCGGTGAAAAGTGCCCTGAAACTGAAGGTCGTTAGAACGGCCAGCAAACTAAACAGTGTTAGTGGACACAGGTCCTTAAGAACGCGTTTATGAATCGTCCTTCTGCTGCGAGCATGATATGCAGTGGACGCTGACGTGTTAAAAAAGAAGACAACTTAATGTAGAGTGTCTAAAGCTTCCCCCGTGCAGATGCCGTTTCTCCGATCAGCAACAAAGAACCCCCATCACAAAGCTGCAAGAGTTTAGTCTCGTCTTTGGAAACATATAGTTAGCTTTAGTCAGTTGTTGTTGAACTAACTTTGCAGCGATGGCATCACTGCGGGTCTTCAGGGCGTTGAACATGCTCCTCTGGTTGGGTGGAACCCGCTCAGCAAACGCCACCCAGTCAATGGCCTTCAGGGCTATGCGACGACCTGCCATCCTGACTTTCTGAAAAACAGAACAAATCCAGTCATCAACATGATCCAGGGTCGGGATATCTTTGACATATCATGCAAATCTAATGGGCTGTTTATGAAGTACATCTTCTCTCCTATCCTCGTTGTGAGTGTTCATATCTTAAAGGACCAATCAGTAAGTGTATATCCTTACGTTTGATATTCTTACTTTCTATTCTACACTTTAGTAAACGTGTAGATGAAACAACATATTGAACATGTCTGAAGTTGCATTTGAATGAATTTGATGATTTGGTAATTGAATTTCATCTGTAGTTAAAACCTCATTATTATTATTAACGCAACGCAGTGAGATAAAAGTAACCTAAGAATGAAACCAGTCCTCTGACATATCACATATCCTGTCAGGAAACATGTTTGATGAGTTTAAACACGTATTTCTTACAGGAGGTGATCAATGACACCTTGACATTTTGTTCCATTTAAGAAGCTAGCGGCAGCTAGCTCTGTTAGCCTGCTAGCCAAGGTCAGAGATGTCTCTCTGTAACGCCGAAGTCTCACACAAAAACAGTCAGAACGAGGCGTTTACTCTTCTATAACATGTACAAGCATGAACATGCACGCTGCATAAATCACTACCTAAACATATATATCATTAAATGTTCAAACATTTCAGTAAACCTCTGATTTAGCGTACTCACCTCGCTGTATCAAATGACGTCTGTGACAGAGCAGAGCAGCGGAAGTGCCTTTTCTTCGTGAGGGGAGCGGGGAGAGCGGCAGTGTGCGCCATCGCCCCCTGCTGGACAGACGGAGTAACTACAGTGAGCCCTCTGCTGGACGGCATGAACACCTACAGAGAACTACCTCCTCATGGAACTCTATTTAAGTCTGCAGCCGCAACTTTGTCTTCCAGAGTAGACCTGAAGCAGAGCTTTGCTTTCCAACTAGAAAGAAGAGGCCTACTACTAATTCAATGTATTTTATCAGAGCTGGGATCCGGTTGTGAAAAATCGCTTAATTCAATCATAATATTTAAAAACACAGCCAGTGTTAAATGTAATTTTTTTAATTGTCTATTTTGGGGGAGTAACAGGAAAATCTTTGGTCATTAGACAGTTTTTATATTTATGTGTGGGTGTAATGTGCACCCGCAGCTTTATGGTTAAGAGTAGGACTGGGCAATTAATCAAGTTTCAATTTTAATTTAAAAAAAAAATCAAGATTAAACGACCACTTGTGTCACATGCTTGTTTTTGTTCAGAGTGTGGTAAATGTTGTTGTTATATTTTGGCCACAAGAGTTCCTCTATTCTTCCTTCACAAACACACTTAATTTATTTGTATTTATTTATTGTATATTATTATTTTTATTTATTTATATTTTTCATTTTCAAATTATTTTGAATGATTGTTTCCCAAAGAGTTCAGAATGGATGGTTTAAATTGGATGAAATGTAATACAGATGTTGTAAAAATCAACGAGAAATCAAGTTTAATAATCGTGATTTCAACATCAATCACAATAATCGTTAATGATTTTAGCTACAAATAAAGCAGCCCTTATTCAGAGTTCACCTGAAGCATAATATAAGCATTCACACTGAAAAGACAACAGGCTGAAATTCATTTATTTTATATTTCATGTATTTTATTAGAGTTTTATTGGGGAGCATGGATGACAGGAAACGAATGTAAATGTCGAAAATATCTTTATTCCATCATAATAATTATCTTTTAAAGAATTAAAACAATAATGTAATATTTTAAATGTCTGGTTTGGAGGACTAAGAGGAAACACTCTGTGGGTTTAATGCCGCGTGTGTATCATCAGCTGCAGGCCAAAGCAGAGTCTTACATCCTGATATGTGGAGAGGTCAAATATGTGCAATAATGATAATTACATTTACATATACGACACCTTTTAAAATATAACGTTGCAAACTGCTTTCCACACGTATATATAAAAAAAAACAGATACAGAAATACAAACACACAAACATGCACGTGATCCAGCGGTGTAGTGCCGGGTGGACGCAGGTAAACACACCTCTGAATCTCCTCTGGTTCTCATCAATGATGGAGGAAACTGTCGCACTTCAGCCACGAACAGAAGACACTTCAGAGGACTCCTTCTTCAAGACACCGGAGCACGTGCGTCACATTCAAAGGTGCAAAGGACGTGTTCGTCAGAGTCAAACCGGATTGAGTGACATTTCTCAGGATGCTGCAGTCTTTCTCCTCGGATGGTGAAGGGACGACTCTCTGTTTCTATGGTTCAAACACACTGACTAAATATGTAAGAGTAGATGTAGTTTATCCTCCTCACTTTAAAAAACATGAAGACTTCTTCAGGCACCACGACGATTCTACAAGTTACTGCCTTTGATTTATTTATTTATATGCTGATTTCAAGTCCATGCACATCTGTTGTTGTTTTATTGAATGTACATCCTTTGCACATTATCTGTTTTTAATCCCTATATTTGGTATTCTGTGTTATATTTTTTAAATCTTGGTATACTTAGCTCGCACCGAGGTTCCGAGAGAAACGTTTCTTTGAGTCTTCTGTATGTGCACTACTGGGGGGGGGGTCATCATATCAGACAACCTGCAGCACAACTAGAAATAAGAGACTAAAAATAAAAGACTCTAAAGAAGAAGAGAGAGTTTTTAAGAGACGTTTGAAAGAAGCATCAGACCTGATGGACAAGAGGAGGCTGTAAAGAACTCATTTATATAATAATTATTATTATAATTATGATTATAATAAATGTCCTCAGATATAAACCCGTAAGGGAGGCATTAACGACAGATAGGTCTCACTTCTTTCTGACGCTGATGTCTCTCTGGATGTTCAACTGGACCGAGAATAATGATCCAGAAGAAGAGCAGACAACTCCGTTTAGAACATTAGAACAAGTTTTTAGACTTGTTTTGTTGTTTACTTCAGTAAAGATCACTCAGACTGAAGTTGTGTGGCTTTCACCCCGGAGTCAGGTTTTTACACCAGAACAGATTCTGGATCACAAACCGGCTCAAAGAGCGACTCGAAACTCCCAGCAGACTTCTGTTCATCTTCATATTGACAGATTTTAATAATCAGAGACATTGGCCTTATTCTCTGCTGTCTTTGTTTTCAAGATGCATTCCATAAATATAATTTATTCAAGAGTAACTTCAAGAAGAAACGCATGATGTTGCGTTTAAATTATAAGTTATAAATCAAGTTTACTAACAGCAAATATTTTACTGACTCAAATCTTATTTACTATTTTTACGTCTTGCATGTTTAACAAGTTTAAATCATGATATATAACAACCTCACTAAAAATATAACTTTATTGGTTTGTGGCTAATTTAAAACAAAGAGAAAACAATGATCTTATTCAGGAGAGAGTCAAGAAAACAGCTTTCATTGAAAAACTGTTGCGAACAAATTGAATCTGAAAATGACCTTCAATCAAAGGTTTCTGTTTTAGTGATCATGCGCATTAAGTCCACTGAGGATGAAAGATTATTCACGGGAGTCAACTCAACTTCATGAGATAAAATAAAATCAGTTGGGACAAGTTTAAGAAGGACTCATCCACTCCCGGGTCTTGTATAATGTTTATTTACTAAAATCAGTTTTTACAAGTAACTGAGCATTTGTATAGAGAGATGTATGTACACAGTACAGATACAAAGATATTCAATAAATATCACTTCTCCTGCTGCACGCGCTGCAGGCCTTCATCAACACTACACACTTTATTTACAATTACAGCAAAAAGAAGAGCTCACTCCCTGAAAGGCCACGCGGTGAGAGTAAGACATCATCTAACACTTCAAATATCGTTCCGCTGCATGTTTACAAAATGTAGAAAAGTGGACACGAGCTGGAAAACACTCTCACGAGCTGGAAACAGTCGATGCTGACAGTGCTCCTCTTAAGGCACGGACTCTGGGTTAGTTAAGTACTTTTCTGTTGTTCAGACATTTCTCCTCCTGCGCCGCCGCAGTGGATCATTACCTTCATGTCTGGACACAATTTTTACATCCATTTTTACAAACCACTGCGCAGCACGGCGGAGAGACTGTGCTGAGATATTTAAGGCATGTCGTTTAAAAAAACCTGACATTTACTTTTGGAGCTTTGCCTGAAGCCTGTGAATCCACAATCCACAGAAACATGGACAATGATTTACACTGAGGAGAGCAAGTGGACTTGCACGGGCCAATTACGCACACAATTATGTATTTAAAAAAAATGCAGTATTGTTCTCTGGAGGTTTGGAAGAAATCTGTAAACTCAAAATTCAAATTAAAAAGATGGTTTTCTACGACGCAGAAAACGTGCCATCCTCGTTTTTACGCGTGTTGAAAACATTAAAGATGACAATTCTACCCTCTTAAAAACACAGTAAGACTAGGACAAATAGTACATCCCATAAGTGACGGGTCCGCTGAACAGTCCTGGCACCGGCAGGCCGGGCCTCGGGAAGCCGTTTGACGGGCCCCACGTTGAAGGAGAACCCATGTGCGCTCCGAGGGGGAACGGCAGCGCGAAGGCGGGCAGGACGGGCTTGGAGGCCAGTTTATACTTCTCCAGCTCGGCCTCCTGCAGTCTCTTGGCTTTGGCCCTCCTGTTCTGGAACCAGATTTTGACCTGAGTCTCCGTCAGGTTGAGAGAGTTGGAGAACTCGGCTCTCTCGGCGATGGAGAGGTACTGCTTCTGACGGAACTTGCGCTCCAGCGCGAGCAGCTGAGAGGTAGTGAAGGGCGTGCGAGGTTTCCTGTTGTTTTTGTGTTTCCGTAAAGTACACTGAGTTGGACTTGAGCTCCCTGTCGGAGAAAAAACGAAAAACGAAAATTAGCTGAGGCTGCTTTTAATTCGAGCCTGAGGTGGGGAAATATTGAACATTACAGCAGGTGAAGCTGTAAACAAAGTTATGAAACAGCAGGTATACACACACCTAAATACAGACTTCAGTGAATATTAGTTAAGAGGAATCAGCTTCCTCATTACAGAATTATCACATTCAGATGCAGACATTTATTCTAATGTATAACAAAGGCCTTTACAATGTTTATGTTTGATCTGCATACTTCCCTCATCAATGACAAAATACTAAACTATAATAAAACATAAATAAGATAAGAATGCAGAGAAGAAACATCCGCAAACAAAATGTGAATCACTCAAATGTCTTTCCCAAGCTCAATTGCTCAACTCTTTTTCATAAAACTACACAACTTTACGCACGCTCTGTAGCGCTGTCTGGTCTAAATGACAAAACTGTAAAAGTGAAGACAGTCACAATTGCGGAGTAAATACAACCCTAAAACACTTGCTGACTTGGTAACTAAGAGTTAAAGATGTTTTAAAGTCTGCAGAGCAGCGCAGGGCCGGACTTACGCGGCGGAGTGGAGAAGGAGGATGTCTGAAACCAAGTGCTCTGATCTTTCTCGCAGAACTGCGGGCTGTCCTCGCTGGGACTGCTGGGAACTCCCTGCGAGCTCTCTGCGGACACCTTCCTCTCCGCGTAAAGAGTCCTTGGAGAGAACTGCGCGCCCTGTCCGGCCGCGGGCTTTGGCAGGACCAGAGCTAAATCTGAGGGGGAGTAAGAAGTCCGACAGGTGGTCTTCTTGGAAATCAACGACTCGACGCTGAACGGGAGGCTGCTCCGCTGGAGTTTGTATCCTTTCTCGGTGGTCATGTCTTTGGGCTGAATCTCCTCGCCCTCCGTGTCCGTGTCCTCCTTTTGATGAAGCTGTTTGGCGTCCTGAGACGGCGACCCCTGCACAGGATTCATCATAGCGCA